ATTGGCATGGACAAGAGAAAGAGTAGGTGCATGAGAGATAATCTTCTTGTATGTTTGAAAGAAATACAAATTATATCTTTAAATATAAAGAAATCTATCTTCTAATTTGAATAAGATTTTCTTGGGTTTGCATTATCTAATTTCTAGCTAGATCTTTTAGGATAATTGTGGCAATTTGTGGGGTGCAAGAGATTTAATCAGTCATCCATTTTATAAATCACCATCATAGTTTTGGGTAGAAAGATAGGAACCTTATCCCTTTAGATTTTGACATCCTATTTAAAATTAAAATATAATTAATTTTATCGTAATTTGGATTTACCATATCAAGGACAATTCAAATTTTAAATAATACCTATAGAATAGGAAAGCAAATGTTATTTGAAATCAATGATTTTCTATCTTTTAACTAATTTAAAGTTTGAATCAAATATTAAGAAAGTGGAGTGTAAAAGTAAGACTATCTAACCCACGGAAGTATATACCGATTAAAATTTTTCTTCTTTTCTTTTGTTTTCACAATCCGGATTACTTACAAGAGTCCAAATGCATTATGAGAAAATAAAAACACAAAAGCAACCCAATGACTCTCTCTTGCTGCCACTTGAACAATTATTTATTATACAAACGAAATTGTTAAAACTTTATCTTGGGATCATAAAACACATAATACTCATGGGAATAAGAGAAGATAAAATTGCAAACCATAAAGAAGATTGTCAAAAAATTTACTTCAACTAGACTTTAAACACCCCACTCCAGATCTCATCTTCAAATGACACATGTGATCAATGATTTGTCTCAGATCCTTAAAGTATGAGAAAGTCTTGGCTACAACCTTTAACTAAATTAGAGAGCAGTGGAACAATAACACAAAGGTGGAAGGCCTCAATGGCTTAATATGGGCATACCACCTCCAGGCAACATATGCATGGGGCGTGCCCCCTATTTTTCAAAAATATTTCTAAGGTAAGGAGAGGGTTAGAGATATCAAGAGAGATGAGAGGTGAGAGGGTTAGAGAGATCAAGAGAGATCAGAGAGAGAGGTGAGAGGGTTAAAGAGATCAAGAGTGATGAGAGAGAGAGGTGAGAGGGTTGTGTGCCACTCTTAGAGGAGAGAGAGATAGAGAGCTAGATAGAGGTGTAGAGAATTGGTGGAGATTGAGCCCCCTTTCATAGTTTTTCTCTAGGATTAGGGTTTCTTATGGCTAGCCATCATTATGGAGAGTTCTACTCTCCATACCATTGATTATGGAAGATATATGGGGTGAGGGATCTGAATCATAAAATCATTAGATCAACTATCATCATTCAAAGAAATGTGTTAGAACTTAGAACCTTATCCTTCAGTTTTCTTAATGTAATCCCATCAAATAATAAAATATGACAAATAATATCATATTTACCTTTTATTTTCCATAACCTTCTTACATATACTTTTTTATTGACATCAAATATCTTTAATTTCAAAACATTTCATTTTTATTCATCTTGATTGAGTGACTTAATGGCCTCTTAATAAAATTAAGAAAGTACTCCTTAAAGCGGGCATGCCCATATAGGGCCTCTAGCAGGCCTCACGCACCACCCACACTAACTCATAGTGGGCCCCCATGTATAAGGAAAATTATTGTAAATGAAATTGAATTTTTAGAAAAGAGAAATTAATTTATTTTATTTTCTCTTTAAATAAAATATTGAAAATTTATTTTATCTTTATTTATAAATTCTTTTTGAGAAACTAAAATATCCAGAGACTTCAAAAACTTCAAACTATCATGCTAAAAATTATTTAACATAAAAATAATTAATTCTAAATAATTTTAATAGGATTTGGATCCAACTAGGTCAAGGAATTTATAAATTGTTGAAGCACTTCATCTTCTACTGTGGACTATAATCCATACTCATTTTCTCAAATTGACCCAGCAGTTGTCGTGACCCACATACCATCGCAAAGGTTCATGATTGGGCTATTAAAGTCAGCCGATAGGTAATGGGACATATGGATTACATGTTCTCCCTTAGAGAAACGTCCAAAGTCACACATATCTAGTGCAACCACGACTTTATGATGCATATACGTAATCTCTCACACATTTATATATATCACCCTCAATGATGATTTGTCTTCCTAAGACGGCTATCATATATACATGCTATGTGATGATTAAATGATAAGGCTTTGACCCTCGCATCTATAGGCCTACCATCGCACACACGGGTCACATAGTTCATTGGCTCTCTACCCTCGGCAACTCTAACCTCATCAAGAGATGACCCTACTAACCCTCAACGATTGTGCTCTATGCCTACTTAATTAAGGGTTTTCCAACTCGATTGACCTAGCAACTTGAGCCAAGTTTGAGTATCGGTAATAACATTTTCCTATCTCGGTCCCTCTAGATCATAATCGCTTTTGGTCCCTCTAGACCACAATCTTTTAGTCACTATGGACCACACTCCCACTGGAGTTCATTGTTAAGTATTGATTACATGCTCTCATAAGATCTTGAATGGCCACATAAACTCAACATCTCCCACTTGGCCTTTGAAAGCCTGACAATCTTTTTTCCTCTCGACTCCTAATTACAATCTCTCTCTCTCAAGCATCTCTCACTTATTCTTTCTTACGCTTATTTCATATTGTGGGGAACTCTTTCACCATCAATCCTTTCTCTAAGGATTCATGGATGTAGCCTCTGTGGGAGTTCTAAAACTTCTTTCTCTTTGTTGCTTACATCCCGAACGTGGTCATAGTCTTTCTTTATACTTTACATTGCGAATCATGGACTCGCTTTCATAAAAGATCATCACGTACCCTCATTGTATGGAGTCGTATCTTCAGCTGCTCAAGGAAGTTCTTCAATCAAGCAGTACCCTTCTATAACCATACAACCAGCGCCACATATCCGGGTTTTATGAGTGAACAACATTATAGCATGTTGTTCTAAATGGCCTGCAAGACACAAATATGTACTCCCATTGGAATGTTAAACTATTTGGATATTTAATAATAGAAAGCCTGTATATCCGAATATCCAAACACTAAAAACAATCGTGGGATTGTAGCAGCTCCTACTCAAACATAACACATAAAATGTACTTTTCTAACATGCTCATGCCAATGTCATGAAGTAATACAACAAGTTTCATGCCAAAAATAAATCAATGCCCATTGATTTTGCAATATGCAAAACTCTTTTTTGAACCACAAAGGTTCAACCACACTAATCTCTTGGTTGTAAATCCATATAAACCAAGTTATCTTATCCACACAATATGTGTCAATGAGGTCTAACAAGAGGTTCATCCTATGACAATCCATTTGATTCATGATCTGAAGTAATTGAGGATCCTAGAAGAATTGACTACACAATCGGTATTTACAAAAACATGAGTCAAAACATATGGGAATTAAAAAACTAGTGCATAGATAAATACTACACTTCCCCTCCTAAGAAGAAAAAAGACAATTGTTGGAATTCCAATACACCTTCAGATCCAACCATACTACATTTTAACTTTTATATTTATTCAATTCGAGTCCTTTCTAAAATATTTTAAAAATTCTATAATCACCCCTATTTGTGGTTATAAAGTTTGAACAATTAGAAGCATTTTGATAATGGGAAATATTTCTATACTTCCCTTACTGCATAGAAAACAATGCTTCCCCTCCCATCCAGCCGTCCAATTTAATCAAGTGAGCCATTGACCGTTTGATCTACATCAGACGTCTCAGAGTATTTTATTTTTATTTCTTTTACAAATTATGTGGATATGAAATTTAGTTCGTGCCATCATCTCAATGGGCCATGCCTAAAACAACTACTAAAATTAGTTTTACAATAGAATACAATGGGTACTTTCATGGGTATTTTGATCATTTTATTTTACGGACAATATTTTTTAATATTTTCTATAGGTGAGACTTTAAGAGAGGAGTAGACGGCCACAATTTGGCATCAAAATAATTTGTAAAATAAAGATTAAATAGTATAGAGACATGACAATAATTGGGACCATCTCAACCGTCCGTTCATAATGGACAGTTAGATAGGGGAAAGCATGTAAGTTTTATGCAGTTGGGGAAGCATATAAAGCTTTCACTTCGATAACTCTATCGCACTTAAGTGGGTCAAGCTAAACGACGATAATAACCTTGATTATGTAGGTCGAAAACCAGAATAAGGGTTTATAATAAAAAAATGACTAACCAACAATGTAAATATCATTTGCAGTTACAACCTAAATAACTAAGGGATAATCATCATTCAGCTCAGGCCCTGTGCATGGGTTAAATTACAAAATGCCCCACGGTTGTTCAGGTTCCAACCTAAAGAGTGAACCTGAGTAATTTTGAAATTTAAAGGATTTTGTAAAGGGATGTGTTGGTGTAATGAAGCTTAAAGCATAAATATTCTAGTGAAAAATGAGATCAAACTTAATAATGATTTTATAAAATGATTTGAGAATTAATGTAATATTTCCCTTCCCCGCGTGCTCTCTCCAAACTCTCTGCAAAGCTTCCACTCTCACTTTCTGTCGAGCCTCATGCTTTAATCAAGTTATTGCCAAGCCCACAGGCTGGCCGCCTAGAAACCGTGTCCACTTATAAATAAGCCGATATACTACGTCGGACAACAGGCCGGACTTAGGCCGGGCTTGCCATGGCGTTAGCCCGACCCTATTCCCATGAGGACTCGCCTAGGCTGGTACAGCCGGAACCGGGACAAAGAAGCCCTAGAGAGTTAAACAGGCTAGATCCAATCTTGACGCTGTCCCAGCCTGGTTTGTTCCTCAGGCCATGATGGCCCGACCCCGGCCCGGTCCTCAAGGTGACATTTTTGTGGCTCATGCCCTATTATTTAGGATCGGACTGGGCCGCCGGACCACTGCTACCCTTACCGAATAAGGAAATCACAAATAACACGTGCGACACGCACATAATACAAGAGCGTCGGCCGTGGTTTCGCATTCGGCTCGTTTGGTGCCTACTGCCTAGTGACACCTCAATCGCAACTCCAAATATGCATCTGCTCCGTGTTCATTTCTCCATCTTAACCTCCCTCTTCTGAATTTCGATCTCCCTCTCTCTCTCTCAAAATTTTCTCTCTATATTCGCTACCTCTCTCTCTCTACAAATTAATGGCAGAGCAGAGACTTTGATCAGACCCATTTGTCTCAGATCTGAGGTCAGGTGCCTTGTTACCATTTGTTCTCCTTCCCTTCCCTTCGCTTCCCATTGGAGCGTAGTTCCAGATCCAGGTTCCTGCATTTTCATTTTAAGTCTCTTGATGGTCTTGATGAAGAGAGAGGGGGAGGAGTGATTCTCTGTGGACGTTTTAGAGAGAGGGAGACTACTTTGGTTGGGGATTTTAGGTTGAGAGTGAGAGAGGATAATGCTGATAAAGTTCGAGACCAAGAGCAACAGGGTGAAGGGGTTGAGTTTCCATGGAAAACGGCCATGGATCTTGGCTAGCCTTCACACGGGTGTTATTCAGCTATGGGACTACCGTATGGGCACTCTCATTGATCGATTCGAGGAGCATGATGGCCCTGTTCGAGGTGTCCACTTCCACAATTCTCAGCCATTGTTTGTTTCTGGAGGTTCTCTCTCTCTCTCTCTCTCTCTCTCTCTCGATCAGTGCATCTGAAGTTCTGTTTCCCCTTTTACCAGCTGGCATTGTTGAAATTTTCTTTCTGCTCTCTTCATTTACATACAATTGACTAATATGCTTTTATATGAATCTCATGTTTTTTTATTGTGATCTTGTTATGAACGTAATTTGGATATATTTCTGCTTTTGAGATATGGATATTGGATGATTGCTTGCTCGCATGCGTTGTTTTAACTTTCTTAATTTAAACTTATTTATCTTTGTTTCTGCTCTCTGAGATCTCATATATCTTCAACTTGTAATGATGGTTTAATATGCCATAGGAAACTATGGATAGATCCTTTTTAAGTCGAGCCAGATTGAATTATAGAAATAGTTGTGATGATAACTGTATTCATATCAGAATCATAACAGTAAATGTGGTGATTAGTAAACAAATGCAGATGATTAGCATAGGATTATTTCACAATTGGTTTACTTGGAAGGAGTGATCTATGGAGGAGGTTTCACTGCGGGCCAACAAGGACAGATTTCTGATGTCATTTCACTGCAGAAGAAGATTTTCTGTGCAATATCACATTCATCTCTCAGCATTGTGACCTTGAGTTGTACTTACAAATATCCTCATTGTCATCCATCAAAAGAAAAAAAAGGAGAAAACAAAAAAATTATCATTGTCTTGCAGGTTTTTGAAATGTACTTTGATTTGTAAACTTTTGCTGATTCTCCTGCAGTTTTATTTGTTTTACTTTTTTAATTGTTCCTGTCAGAGAATTTCCTGAGAACCAAAGTTTTGAAAATCTTCTTAGGAATTTCTTCAACAAGAATTTCCCATGATAATGTCTTTTGTAGGAACCAAATATTTGAGTGTAACTTATTTTCTTTTGGCCGATTCTCTGTACATAATGTGAACCTTCTTACCCATCATCTCTTATGCCTATGAGATTTGAGATGCTTTGTTCATTTAATCTCTCTTATGAAAAATATGCCAAGGATCATGTTGCATCAATTGTGATCCTACAAGTTTCTTCATTATGGTCTTCAATGCTTATTCAGAATTGTTTAGTCAACTGGGAATATGCAGGACCTTGTCTGGATGTCAGTATTTGTATCTCTAGTTCTTATAGAGCTTTTTTGTCATATGCATTCAACTTTGCTGTATGGTTATGTAAGATGTCACCATTCTACGTTGCAGATGATTCCTTTTGATCTGGAACTGTAGATTTGTTAATGTCATTTATATATGTGCCATTATTATTTGGTCGATAGCTTCTTTGTGTTTATGTAGTGATCTATTATTCCTGATTCATGTGCCTGTATAGAGTGATTAAAATGCCCTTGTTATGTTTATATGTCCACATGCATACCCACACACACAAAACAAATATACACGCACACATATATGCTTTTGTTCTTTTACAGTTTGTTGCTTCCAGTGTGTATCATGGTGGCCACTAAATATGTTTCCATCAAATTATGAGTTATCAGTTTATCCTGGCTGCCTTTTTTTTTAAAAAAAAAGCTAACAAATACTCTTGCTATGTTCATACAATAATTAGGTGGGTACTAGAAGTTTCACTTTGTTGATGTTGCCTATGTCTTTATCTCTTTCGGGTGTTGTTGCCTGTAAGTTGATTATTGGAGCATGATGAAAGAGTTGAATGCGTTTACACTTCATCGAGCAAAAGAGATTGAATGTATACACAATGATTTCAAAAGATTATGGATATTTATCTATATTGACAGGTTTTTCTTGGAGTAGCAGAGCACATGTTTAAGTTACAGTGATCAGAAGACCTCCCAATGCGATTGATCGTATCGCCTTCTCATTGCTTGTTAGAATTGGCAAGACTTTCTGCTGATGCACTTGGCTTGGACTCATTAGTCTTACAATACCTCTTGAGGAAGGAAACTTCCTGCGGTCTGCAAACCCAATTTGCGTGCGTTAACCTAGATGATTTAATCAAATTTTTGCTTTAACGCATTGTGGGGTGCATGACAAAAGAGCACTCTATTTGTTTAATTTCTTGGCTAAATAAATGATACACTAGAATCGAATGTACAGTAGGGCAAGTAATGCCCCATTGACCTTGTAATTCATATTTACTTGTTATTGTCATCACTTTAGCTACCGTTAATATTTATCTTTCCCCTCGTGTCAATGCATGGATCGTATCTTCTATGTTGCCAACATCATGCAGTGTCTGCCACATCAGATGCAAAACTGCTTATAGAGGATTGGCTCTTGATCTGCCACTCAATGTCAAACTATTTATTTTGAAGAATGAACTCTTAAGAAGTTTAATATAATTAAAATAAATTTCATGAAGTAGGATATTGCTTTCATAAAGAACTTGAGAACAAAACAAGATTTCAATTTTTGTATATCGATTTCAAGATCAATGGGAGATTGCCATTTTTGTATATCGATTTCAAGATCAATGAGAGATTGCTATTTCTAGCTCGTCTGGTGAAGTTCAAGGGATCTTGGTAACTTTTGCAGTTTTCTTGTTGACTATACCATTACAGTCCGATGGTCAAGGGAATCCTCTTTTTATTTTTGGTTTCTTCCCATTTTCTTGTTGGGTTAATGTCAAGTTCAGTACCAATCTATCTTGATATTATTTCATGTTGGGGTTTTTTTGTTGGCATGCTTAATCTAACTTAGTTTGATTTCAATGTTCTAAAAACGGGTCTTGGAGCTTAGGTGCCCAAGATGCCTTTGG